CATTAGCACCTCTAGTAATATATTTACTGAGAAAAATGGTGACGTGTTCAATACTTATTTTACCCGCTGTAATAATAGTCTGAATAATCTATAATCAGTCCAAAAAGACTTTTACTAGAAATACAAACAGGAAAATTATCTATCAGTCAACGTTTTAGGCTTAAATTGAACATAAAAAACATAAAGGATTATTAAATGAGCACTTGTTTTGTAAGCATGACTTCACTATCAAACAGGATAAAAACAATATGAAAACATATTTTCTGTGTCAGCAAGTTGCTTTCATAAAGATGAATAAAAGCATTAGGATGATTATTATAACGTGATCAGGGTTATCTCAAACAATGGAGGTTATGTGACCTGCTTCTCTTTACTGTTCACATAACTGCCTTACCCTGAAGAGCCCTGTTAAAGATCAGTTTAAAACGTAAATTATACTTTTTAAAAAACTTTTTATTAGGCAAATAAATGGATCTATGTTGTTGTTTACGACTTACTGATACCGACAGAATCAGAAGCATTGCCCTGAAACAAACGACCACTTCCTTCCTCAAACTCTTAAATCAAATGAGACAGTTCCAGGGACCTGGGTGGAGCAGAGCGCGGCACACAGTTTTTAGCTGACTAAATATCTTGCAGATGTTCCTTTCTGCTCACGTCCAACGACTTTCCACAGCAATGAGTGTGACCGACATCGCTTGCAAACTGTATAATGACCAAAGGAAAGAGGTCTTTGGCTCTCTGTGCTGACATCCCAAAACAACAAATACGTCCTCCTGACAGTCATTAAACAGCGATGCCTGTTTCTCTTGGGATGGGGGAGTGGGGGGTGGGATGTCATTTTTCCACAGGCTACAGTGACTTTGTGCCATAGATGTTAAATAGGACTTCCTGATACAGTATTAAGATATTTTTAATGAGATGAAGCATTTATTTTTCTTTTAATAAACATTCTGTTTTTCTCATCAAGTCATGCCAGTATCTGTACTTTTCTCTGCTTTCTCCAAGTTTATGTGACTAGTCCTGGTTAACAAACTCAGTTTAACATTGTTGCCGTTCATATAGCTGAAAACAAAACCAGAATGTTTTCAAGGCAATCAGAACTACAAATAATATTTATGCGCGTTTTGTAAGAGCTGATGCGTTTCTTGTCTTTTGTGGTATCGTACACTGTGCGATATCATTAAACATTAAGACACACAGGAAATTAGCCATGAAGTGAAACGCGTAAAATACAGCATCGAAAAAATAAACAGGCCAGCAAAATTTAATATTATCCTTTCCCTCATCTCATCTCTGTTTATGCATGCAGGATTCCCCTGGGTCTTTTTCTCTGAAAATGTTGGTTAAAAGCAAAAGAGAGGAAAGTAAAAAAAAAACACACATCTACAAACACCCTTGCATTGAAAATGTCATGTTAAGCTAACTTTTAGGGCTGCAACTAACGATTATTTTAATAATCGATTAATCTGTTGATTATTTTTTCGATTAATCGGCCAAATCATTAAAACGCTTAATTACATGAATATGAGTAGATATAAATTAAGTTAACTCCTTAAGGATGCAAGTT